GGCGGGGGGCCGGGGGAAGGGGGGAGAAGATGCAAAATGATTGAGATTAAACGCGGGGAGAAGCTGAAGCGTGGGAGGGATTCGACCCCCTCGTCGCTTAATGTGGCGAGGGGGCCGTTGAGGGGGGTAGCAAGGAGAGGGAGGGGGGTCTGGGTCTTCAGGCTAGATCTGCAGATTCGCAGATGTGCCAAGTTGTCAGATTTCATGCGATGCTTCAACTTCACGAACGCACTTTTCCATGCGGCATAGTGCCGTGCTAAGGAATAACGCCGTAAGAACATTCGAGGATTGCCAAATTTCCTTCGATAAAATGTTCATTTTGTAGGAAAGTTATGAATATTTGTCCTTTAAATTTTCAGGAACTTTAGGTGAAATTGCGGGAAAAATTATCTTACAAATTGGAAGGGAATTATTCCTAAGTTTGCCGGGAAATTCGTGTTTTCTCAAAGGAAATTTGGCAACGCCTGAAGGTTTATACGGCGTTTTTCCTATGAAAGAGCATGGGCACGTCGTTGGTAATTTTGTAGGTTAGGTCATGGAGCCAATAGGGTCCAAAAAGGTAGCCAACTCAAATGAACTTAGATTATCCATCAAAAAATCTTACGTAAGATTACAATTGGAAGTAATACTGCCAAACGGAGCTATGTGTATTAAGCCATGATCCGATCCCTGAGACCCATAAGAACACATGCATACCAAGGCTCACGTCATAATGCACATAGTTCCGTTTGACAGAAATACGTCAAATTGTAACGACCCGGTGTTTGCAGAGCACGGATTTGACTTGGTTTTCGCATTTTACTCATTTTTGCGGAAGGACGCTCAGTTTTGAACATTCTCGGCCATCTTGGTTTGATATTGGAATCTGAGGATTGGCAGCGGCATGTTTTTAGTGTTTTTCATGTTAGAAAATCGGCTGCCGGAAAATCTAAGGAAAAAACGTCGTATGAACCTTCAGGCATTGCCAAATTTCCTCCAATAACAACCGAATTCCCTGAGGAAGTTGTGCCCTGGTAAAAATTGGCGATAGGAGCTGCGTTTCAAAATACCATAGGAGTTCTTTTAGCCGACTGACGAAGGCGATAGAAAATCATAAAGCTGGCTGTAGAAAGTGGAAAAAATCATACTGCCAGGCTACACGAAGCGATAAAAAATTATACAGCCGGGCTGTAGTTCCTATCGCCGGGCTTTACACTTTACTGCCTGGCTGTTGCTTTTTCTCCATCGGATATAAAAGGCTATAAAAAATTGTGTAGAAATTCGTGTGCTTTGTAAATCCTTAAGTTTGTACGGAATCACCTTAATATTTACAAAACGCACATTATATTTTCCTTTATTGCATATTTTTTTCATCAATTAAAATGAGAATAATCCATACAGAGTGTGCAAACATTTCAAAGTCATGAGTTGAAAAACGCTGACTCCACGAGATTAAATATTAGAGCCTAACACCAAGCGGAGCGGCGGCGCACTGGCGCCTCCAAACCTAACAGGGATACTTCACGCATTGCGCAATGCGTGAAGTATCCCTGTTAGGTTTGTAGGCGCCAATGCGCGTTTTACGCTGGCTGCCCGCCCGCCGCACCGAAGCGTACCACGGCGCTTGAAGCAACTATTTCACACCAGAGGTATTGCACAGTATCATTCGAAATTGAAGGCGCTCCAACATATTAGGAATGGCAAGCATCCTTCAAGAGTACGGAGCTTTCCTCGCAAAATAAATCAAGATACTACCGCCCAAAAAGAGAGCAGTGGTCTAAAAACTCATTAAGTCCTAGCATCCGTAATTAGTAACGTTTAGCATACACTTTATCGCCTGGCTGTTGCTTAATCGCCATCGGCTATAAAAGGCTATAAGAAATTGTGTAGCCGGCTATAGAAGCTATTGAAAATCTTACAGCCGGCTGTAGGTCTATGGTATTTTGGAACACAGATTCTACTGCCAATTTTTACCAGGGTAGGGATGTGGGAGATAATTTTCGGCACAAACATTCCCCAATGATTGAATAAGAGACTTGAACCTCGATTTTTCCAAAATAATTTCCCTACTGATCAGAATTTGGGAAGACATCGCTCGTACCCAGAATGCATCGCTCTAAAGTTGAGGATGCACCTTAAAACCAAAAAATTCGAGAGATTAAATGAGGGGCTTAGAGGACGAGGTGCATAGGTGCAGTTTTTTAAAAAAATTTAGATATTAATTATTCCAAGTGAAGTTAGTCTGAATGCATATCCTGTGAAAATTCGCTCACAAATTCAAATTTTTAAGCATCAATAAGTCATTTTGAACTTTCTTTCCACCATAAGGATCCGTGTAATGTCGATACTTCAAACACGTATTTTCCGAAATAGCAAAAACTGCACTTGTGCACTTTGTCCTCCAAGCCCCTCGAATCTCACGGGAAATGGAACGTTTACTTGAGAAACAAAGTATAAGATAAATGTTGGTAAACAGCCCCACGAAGCAATATTGTATCAATTTCACCTCAATGTTCTAGACACTTTTGAGTGGAAACTTCAAAACAACGTTAAGATTATGCTACGTATGAGATAAATGATCTTATGGGGTATTGTAGCAATAATGGAGGTAAAATTTGGTACAAATCAGTGCTAGTGTTTATTTCCGGCTTGAGTGTTTATCTTGAATGTGTTGAAATTACTTGCAAGACCTTTGTCTGACCAATATGAAATACAGATCTCACAGAGGTACAGTGGTTGAGATCTCGTTCAAAAATATGTTGGAAATATCGCCTGATATGACGTCATTAAAATAACTATCTGATGACATTATCGACATTTCTAAGTCAAAATACTGACGACATAAATTACTATTGTGATAAGTGAATTAAGCATGTCGTTTGTCGTCATATTAAGACGAAATACATAAAAATGAGCGTGGTCTTTAAGATAAGCATTATGAAGTTGATAATATTGATATGCAAGTCCAGATATGTCTATTTTTGCGACGCATAAGACAACCAATAGGAAACCTCTGTTGATATATGTCATCATAGTTAAAAAGGAGAACATTTTCCGAGTCCAAACTTGGATAAACGGACACAATTTCTGAGTCTGGATAGAGATGTCATAAATGACGTATGAGCATGCCTCTTTCTTACCAAATAAAAACGAAAGACATATCGATGGTGATACTGCATGAATGTGTACCTCGCTTTGCACCATTGTAGACTTCCTGCCGCACTTCATTTTTTACGTAGAAAACTAATCAACTTCATTTCTTTAAAAATTCCCCGATTTTGCTGCTCTGTGTAAAAAATATTCTGTGAAATTTCAAGCCATGATGTTAATTCGATCTATCCTCTCGAAAAAAATGAATAAGAGCGGAGATTTTGAGACACTGCAACCGAGATACGCACTTTTGCAGCTTTACCGTCGATGTGTTTGGAGTCCATACGTCAAAGAGAAAAAAAGGCATGTGATCAATTTATTTTGGTTTAGGATGCTTTACATGGTCATATGGCCATGAAATTTTTGGTTTTCGTGTGCACGTGCGTCGTAAAGCTTACCAAAAAACTTAGAAATGATGATCAGTTTTGGTGAAGTAAGCCATTGTGTCTTTGCGTGTACCTGGACGTGTTTGATTGAATCATCCATCTTCGGTAAAATTTTGAATCAAGTTGGGAGATTTTCGTAACGTAAATGAAAACAGAATATTTCATTTTTTGAAAAAAAACAAATTATAATTCTTTACATCATTTTTTAAATGTACAATTAAGGACATAAAAGGGTGCAAATCAGTTAAAAGAGAATAAATAAACTAAACAAAAATATACAGAGAGGAATTTACAAATAAATTAAGAAAATAATACAGACAAAAGAGCAAAGAAACGAAAAACATGGTTGAAAAATTACAAGAGTAAAAATAATAATTTTACATTCGCATATCGAGCGAAAATCGATAGCTTCAACATTTACTGCATGGTTGTGAACTAGAACAATGGATTCTCCTGTTTTTTAATTGATTTTTTACGCTTTGGTGGACAAAATGTATTCAAAATCATCGCAAAATCGTTGAATACTTTTTTTAAACAAAAAATCTCAAAGAAATCAACATTTACGAAATTTTATTCTCACATTGTTTATTCAATTTAAAATGAACGTAAGACTAAATAGGAAAATAAAACGCAAAGTAAACGCATCTACTGAAAGGAAAGTATTAATAGAGTCCCATTGATTATAACGTTTGGTTAATAGTCCTTTGATCAAAATTGAGCCTTGCGAAAGAAAACAAGGAAAATATCATCATAAAAAATGATGTAAAAATGATAATAATAAAGAACAAAAAATGTCTGATTAGATCTTCAAATTATATAATATGTTGATAACAAAAGCTTCAGAAAAATTGAGTGACGAGAACAAAAACTGATTGAGATCCAAAAATACACAATATTACGAAAATTACGAAAGTTACAGACTCTTAAGACCAAAATTTTCCAATGGAAGAAAGAGAGAGAGAAGGGGTAAAGAGAGACAGGATTATTTAATTCTCTCTAGATGCTAATGCTTTTCTTATAACTTAGAGAAGAAGTAAATGATGGACTGATGCAGAGATATGCTTACCACAGAAAAAGAAGGATCATAATATTGGAAAAATAACTGAAGGAGAATGATGCCATGTTAGATATATGAAAATGGCAAGATTAAAGTCCACCTGCGTTAATATTTGTATGAGAGCTAAAAAAATAAGTTGACGGAACATTATCAACTCATACTGATCATTAACCTTTTGAGTTTCAGCTGATTTTTAAAAATCGCAGAAAATTATCAAGGATAATTAGCTACAGTTCCATTTCACCAGATACATAGGCTGGAAACGGATATGACGTAAGAAAGTTGGTGTGAAATTATAGGATCAGAGCCACCGTCAATGAATATTTGACTATAGTAAACTTACATGATTGTTCTTACATTGATCTTAAAGTAGGAAATGAAGAAAGAAAGTCTCCTCTTTTCCACCCGAAACTTCTTTTTTGTAAACAAAGATTAGTTACACAGTTCTGATATCTCTCTCTGTTATTGTTTCATTAGCTTTTCATACGTGCGCTGTAGCTTTGAGGTATTTAGAATTCTACGATTCAATTTGAAACTTCTTTTTAAAAACACTGTGTTGGGCATCAGCGTAAGATATCACTAAGCAATTCTATCATTTGAGTTGATAAAATCCGTAAATACTTAAATCCGGCCGATAAAACGGTGACTGTTAAAAAATATTACAATTTTAGCCATAAAAATGTGACACAATCAGGAAACTTTTATTGCGACAGACTTTTACCACCCATTTTAGCCAGTATACACTGCACGGAGAAAAATTTTCTGTTGGATTAATGAAGATTCCAACTAATAATTTCCAGACGAGAATTCTAGTTGCGTCAACAGGAAAGCTCCTTGTTTCAAACGGAATTGTTGTTATTTTAAAGAGACGCCCTATCACATTGAAGACATTATCAGTAGACTCAAACAGGATTCTCGTGCAGAAATTATTATCTGAAACATGTTTCCCACAATCAGTGACTTTGGCAGTAACATATAAACGCGTAATTTGCTATTACCTACGTATCGTAGTATCAGTTCAAGTTAATAAGATGTTAATGATGGACGTTAAAAGGGGGAACTTAAATTGAAGATTAATGAGAGAGTGGAGAAAACGAACATGCAATGAAAGAAAATGAGTAAATGCTACGTACATATGGCAAATGAATACAAAAAGTTAGACGATGCCACTAAAATTGAGATTACAAATCTAGTATAGAAAAAGGAATGTAACGGAATTTTCATTACATGCTGTATGATTGATTTTCTCTCCCTCTCTCTCTCTCCCTATTTTCTTGAATGACAGTCATCGCTGAGATTTTCCTGATTTTTGTTAGTACATTGTCCAAAATTAAGTATTGGTTATTTTTAACGAAAATCTTGAATGATGGGATCACCTCATTTTTGACATTGGGTTTTAAGTTGAACTGCTGCTGATTAACTTGGTTAGGGACGTTGTTTATCGGTTTCAATGAAGAACAAGTAGTGATGATATTATTGTGTACAATAATATGAAACCATAGTGAATATAATACGCAATGAAGACAATTCTAGTTAGAACGGAAAATTAATTTTGATCATGAGGCAGGGGTGCGGGATAGTCTTCTGTAATTAGAGGTTGTGGATAAAAATACAAGATGGTAAGAGAGATTGTAAATGATTACACGACTATTGCAAATATTGAGCTTCTACGTGAGTACAACACTGATAGGTTACGAAAACTAAATTTTTACAAAGAAAGAAAGGGATGAAAGGGATCTGCATAGTTTAACAAGAATAGTAGATTTGAAAAAAAGAAGGAGAAAAAAAAAAACTTCCGAAAGGAAGCATGGACTTCCGAGACTATGAAGTAAAGGATAGAATAAGACGCGTGCACTTCAAGTCATTTTTTTTTAGAAAAAATGCAGAATTTTTGACGAGAGTAAATTTCCACAGCTATTTGAATGATGAGTTAGACATTGTTTTCAATTTAAAGTAATAGTTATACTGTGTGAGCATCCTAGCTATAACTTGTCTCCTTTTTCTTTATTCTGAATTATATCCTCAACGCCACTAAAGTGATGGAATCTATCTGAGTTGGCCTTTTGGATCTGACTCATATATGTAATTGTTCATAGGCATTTTGAGGAGATGAGTAGGTATTAGGTGTAATCAAGCGGACTCATTTATATGAAAATTAATGCTCATAAACATCAATATTATGACACTTACAATTCTCTAGTAGTCAAAAATGAACGACTTAAGAAAGGATCTTTTAACACAAGAGGAAAAGTGAAAGAATAGATGGGATAGTATTCATAATTTCATAAGTTTAGCAGAAACATCTACGAAACATTCAAGCCTCTACTGAAACAGCGGGTTCATGAGAAGATGCACGATTTAAACGGTTCAGAAAATAAATTTTCGAGGAAAGCAGCATTAACAGTTACTTGAGGAACAATTAATGATTAGCAACTGTAAAAACATGTATAAATTTAAATACCGTTAATGGAAACTAAAAACTCTCTGAACATGCCAGAACTAAAAAGGCACCTAATTTCCAACACACCAATGGAGGAAGAATTTACGGACCTTACTCTGAAAATCTCGAGGAAAACATCAAAAAGAAAATAAAACACAAAGGAGGGACGTTTTACCGACTTAAAACAATAAAACAACTGATGATCAGTCGCCAAATACTAGATAAATTGTGGAAACAAGAAAACAGAATTAGGTGCGAAAATATCAACCAGCAAATGTTTAGTTCTCCGGCATTTTGAAGAAAAAGAAATTACTATCACAAGTAATGCCAGACAACAAACACTTTTATCTACTTATAAACTCAAAACGTCGGTATTTTTTCCGCCGTCTTTCGTGCCAGAAAAATAAAACATAATTTACTCTGCAATAATTACACATAAATGTAATGTTTTTTTGAATATTTACGGTATTGGCTGCAGTATGAAAATTCAATCAGCTAAAAAATTTAGTGTAACAAAAATATATCATTAAGAATGATGAATGAACCGAGTTCAGCCTATCACAATGAGTTATTTGTACTGTTAACCAAAAGCTGGCCCATGACAAAAGAAATCTATCGTTAATAACTCGAGATTCGAAATCTCGAAAGCTCAGTTATTTCTTGACTTGTTCATTGGCATGGATATCAGCCGGAATATCCAAATACTGAGTACAGTTCAACAATGGAGCTGGTTTGACAAATCACTTGTTGCGAGCAATGATGCCATTAGTTTTGACCCCTTCCATATAAAAATACGACCTCTCTCGCTATTTCCCCCTCCCTCTTGGAGCATAATACTCATCCTACATTGGCTTAGCCTTAGTTAAAGCGACCGCCATCTTAATAACAAATCACCGGTATCATATTTTAATATTTTCCTTTTCTTTTTAGGCACAAAGAGTTTCGAATTTGTAAAATAGATAATTAATTTCTTAGAAAAATAAATTTCAACTTTTAACACTTTTTAAAACAAAACCGATGAGACGATTTACTACTTTGGGAGCAGAAATATTGAACATTATTGTAAAGAGCAGAAAACATCCTCCACAAGGTGGTTTTGTATTGTTGCAAGGAGATTGACCCCTTGATGCAATTAAACATTTGTTTTCTCTCCCAGATTAGTAAAAATCGGCTCACTGAGCAATGACCTATCCAGCTGATACCATACTTTTTTGAAAATCAAGGGTAACAATTACTGTTGATTTACATTTATAACTAGATACATGTTTTAAGAGTAGAAGTTTATAGTTAAAGGACGTCAAATTTGCGCCTAAAATGAGAGAAGTCAGTAAAAAAATATAAAAGTACCTAATTTTGCATCAATCGAACGAAAGAATTGAAAAGAAACAACCTTTCGACCAACAAAGAAAGAAAATTTGACTAAAAGAAAGCATCTGTAACTTACATCCACTAAAAAATTATTGTTTTCCTTTTTTATGAGATATTTCATATTTTGAGCAGAGGAGTAATAAAAATGTTTACATTGAGCAATTGAGAACATACATAAGCAACAGTTAATCTAAAGGTGGATACTTTAGGATTAATGTGTGATAATATGAAGAAGTTGATCAAATAGAGGCTACTCTAACAAAAGATGAAATGTTGAGTAAGGACCTTTACAGCGTGTATGAGTTTATCGTACCACACGTCTACAATACATTTAAAACCAACCGACAGGACACATAATCATGAAACAGCACAGCTCCTCTCATTAATCACGTATGAGCTGTATTTTGGGAGTATTATTTGAAAAAAACATATCTGCTTTGTTAATTTTAAATTAGAACTGAGAAAGAAGAAGGAGACGAACGGATAGGAACGATTTCCGAAGGTCAAAGGTACAATTTAAAGATTCTCAGAAATATTGAAGTTGCCAGGAAATCGTCAGAGGAGAGGAAATGCAGCAGCCACGTCAATTTTGCGATATTCGATACTTCGCTATTCGATGGTACTCATGTGAACAATCAGATTCTACTTTGAGAATTTAAATTGATTACTTTCCCATTGGTCAAGCATTGATGAATTTATAACTTATCGTAAACAAGAAATTTTCCTTGAGAAAAGGATTTGGACGTTGGCAAATATAAGGCATTAAACCAAGGGAGAAAATTAACTGGGGTTTTTACGCTACAATCATCGAAAATGGAATATATTGAGAACGACGCAGCCACAAGAGAAAAAAGCGAGGACAATTTGGACTACATAATCCAATTTGGAACTACAATACCTGGCTCATTTTAAAAACAGCATGCGTGTCATTAGTTTCCCTACATAGATAGGTGCTTTTACGTAAGAGCCGGCTTAGCTCCTTACTGCGAAAAGTCCATTATTTTACTTATCCCGAAAACAGAGCGCCGTGTGAGCCTTCCGACGTTACCATATTCCCTGTGATAAATACCAATTTCCTGGAATTTTTTTACAATCTTTCCCTTCCAATTTTGCAAATATTTTAATTCACAATCCGACAGGTCTAAATATTTCAAAGAAAAATACTCTCGACTCTCTTGAAAAATAAATAATTAATTGCAGAAAAGCTGGCAACGTCTGGATGTTGACGCGGTTTTTTTTGTTAGCACGGCTGTGGTGTGTTATTATAACACTGACACAGTTTCGGAATCAGCGCGGGGGTAGAGCGGAGGGCGGGCGGGGAAGGCGGGTGCGCGGTGTGGGTGGAGGCGACAAGTGTTTAAGATCGATAAAGACGCGACGCGGCGCTGCACCGAGCGGGCAAGGTCAAACTGCATTCGACGCGCCAGTGCAGAGTGCAGTCAGTGCAGCGTGCACGCCAATGGAGATCGGGGGCTTTTGTTGCGGATTTTCCCACATTCATTCTACTGCGCCTGATTTTCCTTCCATGAATGTTGCCAACAGAATTCATCAGTTTGCTATGGATCAGTTGGACTACATTTTGCAATTTGGAACTATGAATTCTAGCCCAGCTTAAAAACAACGCATGTGCCATTAGTTTCCCTATGCACACAAGTGTTATTCCAGAGGAGCCAGACTTTAAAGTTCCAAATTGCAAACTGCAGTCCAGTTTACGCTCTTTCTACAAATGAGCGGCCCAAGTAGCAACAATTTAACGGAAACATTTAAATGCTTTTAAGCTGAGTTCATTTTATGCTAAACATTGAGTCTAATGCAGGAGCAAAATTTTAAGATCTCACCTAGGTTCTTCTTCATTTAACTCTGTTCGGTTCAAAAGCAAACGGACACAGTTTCGTTTTTATATTTGGGGAGAAAACTCTTGAAAAAATATATAATGAGTAGAATGTGTCGCTGTAAATTTACATGACTTTCAGAGGAAATTTTCCTGCAAAATCGGTTATTAACAGAATATGAGCCTAACAGTTTAGTGTACTGAAAATATAGGTCTAAAAAGGCAAAAGTTAGTAGGTGCTTTAATTATAGAGGTCGGGACCTACATCATGACAATTTTGAATTAAAATATATATTGTATAAAATACAAAAATATTTTTAGATAAAATAATTTGAAGTTCTCTGTCAATCTCCGGATTGTATTATAATTAAACGTAGGTATGTTCATTAAAGTCAAAAGATTTGTCTTTAAAATCTATCATAACTAGTTAAAAAACATAAATTATTCAACTAGCTAACAGTGCCAATAATAATAAGATTAACAGAAACATTTAACCACGATAAAAAGTGAAACAAGAAGAAACGCAAGTGATAATTTCAAAATATTTCACATAAAACTTGAACAGAAGAGGTACCTAGACTGAGCGAAATATATTTTCTTGTTAAACTTAACAAACGTAACGGCAAAGTATCAAAGGACCTATTTCATTGGGGAGCGTTTTTACTTGAACATTGAAATTTCAACATTGAATGTTAAAACGGATACGCAAAGGACAGAGAATAAGCAGACCATATCTTTTACTAGTCATTTTAAAAAATTTTTTTAAAAAAAATTTCCGAATTAAATTAACTACATTCAACATCAACTGACCAGCAGTTTTATAGGAAAACAAATGGCACAGGAAAACAACTATCATGTATAGTATGTACAAAGACGACCTAAATCTCCTTTACTAGGCGAGAAATTTTGAGAGATGGCGGCGCTAATGATGAAGCTAGATCATGCGTCCAAAAGCAAATCGAGCGGCCAAAAAATAGTACATAAGTATCCAAAAATTCGAATTTTGGGGGAAAATTGATTATTTATGAGAATTGTTTCATTTACTTTAAAGTACATTTCGAAAAACAAAAAAATGACAGAATAATAAATTAATCCATCCATATTACCGAGGATTAATATACCAATAGGCTTAAAGGTATGAGGTGATAAAATTGTATCGGTTATTGGACAACTTCTTGGGATAAGTAATATAAGCAGCGAAATACCACTTAATTTTTCAACTTTTTTGCATTTTAAGATTTATTTTCGCTAATTTTACTCCGTATGCAGTCACAGAATGTGCAAAAAAAAAAAAAAAAAAAACAATAAGAGCTTGTTTTCACTCTGTAATTGTGGAAGCTTGAGAAGGTACTTTAAAAGTAAAGCATGCTTTGCATTGTTGCGCCGTTTCATACCCTGATAATGTCTCGCCAGTAAAAAGAAAGACGGAAGAACGCGCTGAAGACAAGTGGAAAGGATGCATGAATGTATAATCTTTGGTTTTGGGAGTGGAATAGCGGCAAGGGGCGATGGGCTCGGGAGAAGCCGGTGGACTGGTGGCTTAGTCCAGATCCCGGGCACTCACGTCCATGGGCGAATGCGCTGGCTGGGAGGCCCCGCTTTGACCGGGAGACAGAGGAAGGTCCTCGATGGGCGTCGAGTCTTGGCCGCCGGATTCCACCCTCATATGCGTCCGCATGTGTCGCGTGATCATATCCCGACGACACGCAGCGTAGGGGCACTGCGGACACTTGTAGGGCTTCTCCCCGGTGTGAGTCCTTTGGTGGGTCGACAGGTGGTCCGACCTGGAGAACACTTGCCCGCAAACCTTGCACGTGTACGGTTTGACGCCGGTGTGGAGCCGCATATGCCTCGTCAGCATGTCGCTCCGGGCGAAGGACCGCTTGCAAACTTCGCAGAGATAAGCTTTGGCACTAGAATCACTTTGTTTGGCGCTCTTGTGGCGGGACGCCATGTGTTTGGCGAGGCGGTCGTGGAGGCTGAACATCTGGCCGCAGATGGGGCAGACGTACGCCACGTCCGAGCCGGGCGGCATCTCCTCGACGACCGGCGAGACCTCCAGGTTGTACCTGTAGGCCACCGACTCCTTCGTCGTCGGCGACGCTACGTCGCCCTTGACCACAGGAACTGAGACGGTGCCTCTGGGAGGCATGAACCCGAGCGGGAGCATCTGGAAGGGCTGCAGCGGGAGGTGGTCGCCGTAGGGGGTGAGCATCGAGTCCGAGCTGGTGCTGCTCCCGACCCGCTCCCGGCTCCCCTTCATCGACAGGTCCAGCGGCGAGTCTTGCGGCGAGGACTGCTCCGACTCCAGGGAGCCGCCCTTCCCGGAGCTTCCGCGCTGGAGGTTGAGCGGGTGCGGAACGGACAGCGGTCGCCCGTGCTGCCGGAGGACGGTCCCGCGCTCTTGAGCATTCTTGTCGAACCTCTCGGTCTTGGCCTCGAACCAGAGGGGCAGGTCCGAGTCCGAGTGACTTCTTCTTCGGAAATAGTCGGGCAGGTACTTGGAGTGTAGATAATGTTCGAAGCTATACACGGGGGCGGGGGCGGCCGAGTTGGGCATGAGCGGGGACATGGGGGCGGTGACTGGGTGGTGGGGGTGTAGCCAGAGGCCGGCGGCGCAGTGGCTGCAGGAGCAGCCGCGGTACCTCGGCTGGGAGCTGAGATGGTGCCTCTCCTCCGCGGTGAGATCCGCCAGGCTCTTGATCTGGAGTCGCGGCGGGGGCGGGGTTCCGACGTCCACGTCATCCTCTACACTACTGTCTTTAATCCTAAGGGGGCTGAAGCTGATCTTGGGCGAGTCGGTGTTGGAGCTGTGCGGGGACTTGTTGGAGGAGGAGCCGGGGCTGAAGACGTCCTCTTCCTCCTCGGAGATGGTGCTGTGGTAGCGCTCCCGGTCGGCGGCGTCGAATCTGAACACGTGTGGCGCCATGTCCCCTCGACCTCCGCTCAACATGACGTCATCCTCCCGCTTGACCTTCACCTCGGCTTCCTCGTTGTTGTTGTTGTGATGCGCGACGTTGTTGTTGAGCAAGGGCGCGGCCACCTGGGTCGTCAGCTTGTCGACCACCTGGCTCAGTCTTTTCCGTTTCCGTTGTTTGTTGTGGCGGCCGTAGTTGTTGTTGTTGTTGTTAAAGACGGCATGGTGTAGCGGGGCGGTGGACGGCTCGATTTCGGCCATCGTCATCAACATGGTGCGAAGCCCCGGGCGGGCCTCGCAGTGGCGCTTGTCTCCTTGTCGGCCGCGACCAAACGCATGGCGCGGCTAAACCCGTGGCTCAGCCACAACGCACCTCATTTTCGAAATCGAAGCTCGCATCCAAAGCCCAGAGATGTCCACACAGCGATCGTAAAGTCGGATCAGGTTGGCGTCTGCTCTACCTGCAACAGAAACACACACACAATTAATTACTCCATCCTCGCTGAGTCAAAGTCACAGCTTAATCAATGATATTTCAACCAACTTTTACATGAAGCTCCATTGGCCGATATGAAAAATGATAAGGTCTTCGCATTGCAATCATGCCAAGATCTTGCAAATTCTACATTAATTATTTATCAACTGCGTAAGTCTATACATGAAATTTACGAATGACACTCTTTTTTGCTGTGCACATAGAAACTGTTTGGAATTTTCAGATTTTTCTTGCGGGATGGAAAAGTTTACACAATCTTGGCTTTATTTTAATGCTAGCAATTCTCAATTGCAAAATGCAATTTATAAATGAACGGTTACAAGTATGTTTTGCGTGACATTAAAGAGGCTATTTAAACATCTGAAGAGGTACCGAGGCAAGCACATGCAGTGCCAGACGAACCCGACTATCAATTTCAGTGTGATTGCACGTTTAATAAATGACATAACATGGAAAAAAATTGTTGGACTGTTGTTTCGCACAAAGCGTTTCTCCATCAACACAGGTAAACACCAAGTATATTGAACTCTGCACGCGCGCAACATCGATGCCAGATAGTGCTGAAAAATCAGCGTTATTCCCATTAAATCCCATGTGATTTATTCTACCTGGCAACGCTGGCGCACAAGAGGAGAAAATCTACTATTAGATAAGCGGAAACATTTTGCGGACGGTGATCACTCTCGCGGTCCCGTAACAAATGAAGACGTCCGAAAAACACAGCTAATCTCGGAAGAGCAATTAGTATTGCATATTTGTTGGGTTGATAGCGAGACACGACTCCTAAGTCATAACAGCCAGCGATTGATTACAACAATTTTGAATGCATAAGGGACGGTAGTGGGTCTGGGAGTTATGTTCGCCCATCAAAGAAAAAACCTAAGTGAGCAAGACCGTTTCATACTCCGCTGACACATTCCAGGTGGCATTACTGCGTTATGGTAGCAGTTACAAGATTTATTTTGAGCCTGCCTCACTAACCTGTTCCGCCTTGATAAATGCCCGAGTGTTATGGTACAAATGAGCGCGATATTTAACAAACAACGAGTCAGGTACAGAGTTTTGTGTTCTTGTGTTCTCAACTTGTTAATGGCCGCGAGTAAAAATTTATAAGCGTGCTGAATAGCGGTCAATATAGCGACCTGCACCTAGGCGCTGTGCGGAGCGGACGACTGGATGTGTTTACGCTAAAAGGAACTATGTTGCACGTTAACGCTAGGCACATAGTTTCTTTTGGCACAAATGCGGACGACTAGCCGAGCAAATACGTTCGCGGCTCTCAGGACATGAGTCCAGCATGCCGCTCGTATATATCGTCGTCATCAATTCCTTTCCTTGGATCGCTCTTTACATACAGACTCCTCATTAATTTCTAATCATTTCTTGCCCTCATCTTTGTTGGATACCTCGGCAGAACATCAGCCTTTTACACGCTTTCCACGCCACGTCTCAAAGCATAGAGTCAAACGAAACGGAAAACTCTGATTCCACACTTCAGACCGCGCTGCAACGTACCCCGTACCCGATTCAACCCTAAACCGGCCGGAGAGGGATGCAAAAGAGTTTAGTATAACGCAAATCGACCTACCCACTTTGTTTCTTCGATGAAGACTGTTTTTTTCCCGTGTACATCAAAATCGGAACTCATTCGGAATATGATTGAAGAAAATTCCTTTTGGTCCGGATGGAAAAATATGAGAGCAAAATTTCCGAAAACATGAAGCATTTTCGTCATTTTAGCACGAAGCATTTTTCACCGGACCTCTATTAGGGCGTTCAAAAAGTGCAACCGATTTTTATAACGCTGCGTCGCTGTTCGGAATCAGTGAATGCAACTCGTTACTCATGTTTGCATTATCAAAACCTCCTCTTTTTAAGCGGTGCATTGAGCTCCGAGGATTTTATTAGTTCGATATTAAAAATAGAATTTTATCGTTTGATCTACACCTTGTATAAGGCTGGTTAAATTGCGCAGCCAACGCAGTGTTTTTTCACAGATGACTCTCAAATTTGTTAAAGACAATAATAATTTCTACCGATTGACGATCGCGCAACTGGGACTGTCAAACATGGGTGCCCCGTTTGAGTCAGGCCAGATGAAAATTATGCATAAACCTGTGCGGGGGGGGGGGAGAGAGGCGTGGGTGGTAGACGTCGCGCCGCACCGCGTTGACTGCACCACCTTGCTGCAAAAACGGCCCATAGTTGCCAACTCATGAGAGAATCATTCGAAATTAACGATAATTCCCCGATTGCTCGGTCCTGTTCGTCGGCAGGAAAACCAACTTCGAGTCGGCAAAAATTTGGCAATGTTAGCGTCGAGGCGTCATTCTTTCGCACGGGAGCATTAGGAACTTGCACTAGTTAGCTGGAGGCGCGGCGCCGCCGAACCGGAATGCATCGGAAGATAATCAATAGTAAGTTGGGCCGGTTCGATGGATCGATACACAGGCCTTGCACTCAGCACCTAGCAATGTGTCGAAGCACGGGTTGAGACGTCGCGTCGAAAACGTTGCGAACGGAATCAATTAGTCGGGACACCTTGTTGCAGAGATTAGCCCTGTCATATCCACATGCAAATAAGTGTCAACATGTTAGGTTGCCATGCAGCCGCCTTTGTGGGAAGGGGGCGGGGAGGGTGGTGCAGCCCCACCCCATACAACTGCACACAACCGAGTGGGCGTCCGGAAGTGGGGCGCGGGGGGCGTCTGACGCCCATCCACCCATCCCTCATTCCCTCACCCGCGTCGTCTATTACGCCTACATTCGGAGACAAGATCGTAAGGATGCTGGTCCTGCCGTTCTGAGAAAAAACGTCGTATGATCATTCAGGCCTTGCAAAACGTCCTTCGGTTAAACGCAAATTTGATGAAGAATTTTTGATCATTTTTCGACTGATTTTTCAGACACTTCAGTTTAAAATTTCATTAAAAATATCTGAAAATTTCAATGTGAAATATGCGTTACTTTCCGAAGAAATATACATTTTATCAGAGGAAATTTGGCAACTCTCGAACGTTCATACGGCGTTCTTCCTTAGCGCGGCAGAGTTGAACATCTCACTGCATGATCCGCGGGAGAGATCGCGACAGGTTCTGGCTTTCCGGCGCATAGACAGGGACAATTTATTTTGCATCATCGGTTCTCATCGTGTGGAACTTACATTCATAGATTAGGATCGGTTTTAATATCAACCGTGCTCACTGTGTCAAGAATTTTTTAGGAAAGTGAGACTCAGTCTGACGAATTAATCGACTCGGCAAATTGATTTATTTATCTCAATTAGCCACGTAGCACAGTGCAATGCAAATAAAATTGTGCTTTAACGCGACAGGATTGCAATCTTTTACCATGGGATGGTAATATATTTACATTATTTGGTCAATAAATGCCGATCCCAAACAATCAATTAGATGAGTTACATGTATCAGATATACAGGCAATTTGCAATGCAAAGAAAATTGCGACTCATTTCAATTTTATTGCAATAAATTTTCATAAGAGATGTCCGCTCGATTAGTAGATCGGCAACATACACAACACTCCGATGCGGTGCCAATAACTTTACCATGTAATTGCAATTTATTGCAGTCTATGCTACTTGGGTCGAGAAGACGTATTGTGACAGGGCAACTGCGGTGAACCTTGAAAAATTGAATAATTTTTCGTGGCTTGAACTCAATGTAGCTAAAACGAGAAAATCAGTCACAAAAGCATACGTCATTGGAAAACAGATTCAAAGTAACCTTCTCCTCTCAGAAAAAACTCGGGTCGTGGAAGCATTACTCACTCGGCTATGTAGACATACCGTCTGCATGCCGGGCTCAGAGGCCGAAAGTTCCGAGCATAGCACCCGGAGCAATTGAAGTTACGGCTCCAGCACCCGAAAGTTTTGGCCTCTGAGCCCGTAACTTTTTTTTCAGCACACTGATACAAAATGCGATGATTTTGAAAAAGATTGGTCAATAATGATCGATTATATTGATCGATAACGAGAGAAATCCGGCGGCATGGACTGTAGCGCGGCACTGACAAGATGAGATAATCTTGAGCGTGGGTGCAACTTCTTTGCTCTACGTGCGCAGTCCGATGTGGGAGTCGGGTTGTAGGTGTGAAACAAGGTGAGCAAACATATATGGGGATTGAACGCATGGTAAGAAAAGAGCATAGAAAAAAAGAAAAAAAACATGAACACTTATCTAGCTGACAACTCACACCTGCTCCTAGCCCTCATGTATTCGCTTTGCTTCACTTGACTTTGAACTTGGAATACTTCCCGCGGTTAATTCAGCTTGCAAATGCTCAGGAATTTATGAGAAATACAACTGGACAAAGCTCAGCGATAAGAAATTTAAAAAAAAGGTTTGAAATTGCACACCCTGAATAATTGAGCATTGGATATTCGATCCCGATTGGGGGGCTTGGAGGAAAAGGCGCATAAGTGCAGTTTTTGAAGAAGTTGAGATATTAATGATTTCGAGTAAAGCTATAGTCTTAATGAGTCTCATTCCGTGAGAAATTTGCTCCCAAATCCAATTTTTAAGCATTAAAAAGTCAGTTTGTACTTTCTTTCCGCCATAAGGCTCCATGCAATTTTGAAACTTTAAACAGGTATTTCTCGAAATATCAAAAACTGCACGTATGCGTCTTGTCGTCCAAGCCCCTTAATTGAACTACATTATGCAACATGGAACCAATATGTCCAAATAATCTCGTCGGTTCCCGGACGAAGAAACGTAACTCAATCTCAAGGTTGCAAAATTGACGTAAAATATAAATTTTTCACAGGAAAGAACCTGTGCGAATTATTGTCGATTTTTTTTTATTTTCCGGTGAGATCAGAAGAAATACAGTGATATATTCAGTGAGAAATGCCCAAGATTTTCTTGGTAACAATACAATTTTCATGGGGAAATTTGAAAATTGAAATGTGGCTACGTTATTCTTTCGAGACGGAAACGACGA